TGAAGTTGTTACAACAAGCAAACGGAAAGGACATTCTTGGGGGGGAGGGGAGAGAGGGAGGAGGGAGGGAGGTGTCGGTGATGGGCCATAATAATCATATACATTGTATATTGACAAAATAAAAACTTAACGAAAAAAAATACAAAAAAAATAAAAAATAAAATAAATAAATAAATAAATAAATAAAGCACAGCTCTCGAACTGTCAGAAAGAAGTGGGTCCGAGTTGCAGCTCTAGCCCTTAGTAGCTAAGAAGTAACGGGCAAGCTACCCACCCTCTCTAAACCCCGGTTTCCTTCACTGCACCATGATAACCATGGTACCAGTTTCCTGGGACCGTTGTCAGCATTCAAGTGTGGTAATATGTGAAAGTGCTCGGCCCGTGGTAAGTACTGAACAGATACCAACCATTTTTGTAACACCCTCAATTCTAGTAACAAAGGCCCACGGGAAAGACCCACGGGAAACTGAGCAAGATTCAAGGACCAGCTCTGGAGAGGCGACATATTAACCCTTTCACCGGTTACCCAAGTTATTACTACATCGGAAAGCAAATACTCCCGTGCCTTTAAATCAACTATTTTAGTGTCTCTTTAGGGGGGAGTAGAGGTGCTGCTTTTCACCCCTGCTCCAAGAATGAAATTATTAAAATACTCAACGTTTGTGAACCTTTAGACACTTCTGCATCCAAATCATAGTTGGACTGGGAAAGGGAAAGGGGAGGACAAAATACTACACGAAACACCCTAGTTGTCGTTGCACGTGACACCGCACCCTTGGAAAAGTAACTGTTTTCTTTAAAAACTCATGTTGTATCAGGGAGTCCAACAAGATTGAAAGTAACGCACGCCCCTTTCGCTCTGTTTAAAGAATTAAGTTTCCATAAAAACCGGGGGTGGGCGAGGGCCTTGGAGTCGTGCCCAGGGGCGTGCATTCGGAGCGGCACTTACCTTGTGCTTCAAGACACGGAGCAATGAAACCTCCAGGACACAAGTCAGCACCGCGCTCCGCGGCTAAGCACCCGCCTCCGGAGCGCAGGGTTCCCGCGGGATTCAAACCCACTCCACGGAACGCGGACAACGAGCGGCGACGAAAGCACCGGCGACGCGGCCCGACGCCCCGCCCGGATCGGGGGACGCAAAGCGGGCGGCAGAGAAGCCTCTAAATAACTCCGAAAACGCAAAACTGACCTAAAATAGGATGACGACACTTCCCAGGTACCTAAGCCGCTCTCCCCAACGTCTGCGCAGGAGGACACGCGGGTCGGTCCCCGGCCGGGTTCAA